TATTCTGTGATCTCAAATGACTCAATCAATTGAAAAAAGGCCATTTCTCTCCACAAACACTTGAAATCCCATGGCTTTTCCATCCCATGGCTGGAGGGTTTTAGCTAGGCTTTGGCAGACTGATGTAAACAATATGCCCAAAGAATTTTAATTGCCATTTCATTAACAGAGTGCCATTAACATCCCTCCCAACCAGCTCTGCTTGGCCATCCCAGTGCATGGCCATCCAATTACCAAACAACAAAGTCCCCATAAACCTGCCCTGGCCTCTGAGGTTAAAAATTAAGCTGTGCCTGGAAACAATAATGAGGTATAAGAAACAGGCTGTGCAAAACACCAGAACCTTTCCCAGCTACGAGCTATGCAGGAGGACTGACAACATCAGCTGGGGGCGAGGGTCTAAGCTGTCAGCTTCTAAACATGGGGCACACACTCCCCTAACACAGAATGACATTATCACAGCAAAACCTGAGGGCATAACCTTGAGGGGGAAACTTGACCTAGAGGAAGCAGGAGGGGCTGCCAAGGCAGGAAGAGACAGGGCCATTGTAAACAGGAAACCAAACAGGCAGCTGGGTGGCCAGAGGTGGTGCTCCAGCCCCTCCCAGGTGATGTGTCTGCCTCTCGGTGCCTTCACCAGGGGACTGAAGGCTTATCACAAGGCAGGAGCTGACCTTAAAAATGGTTCCATTTTTTTAGAGAGCAACCTGGCACTGTCTATCAAACGTTTTGTTTAAAGGCATGCTCTCTTGGAGCTCCCTGATGCTACTAAGATGGTACCCTACAGGTACAATCACTATTACTAACATGCCAGCAAGTGTACTCCAGAATATTATGTAGAAAATTTCTCACTCAAGCATTTTATATAAAAAAAAAACAAAAACGGGTAACATTATGCCCATACATCAGGACTGGGGTTTAAATCAATTATAGCTCATCCAGGATAAAAAAGAATAGTATATACATACCCGAACACAAGGGTCTGTACAGAACTCCAAGATTTTGTATTAAGTCAAGAAAGAGTACAGTGAGTACAGAATGTTTCTATTGTGGGCTGGGGCAGGGCAGAACACATACATATGCTTCTGTAGGGCTACCTGAGACAGTGCCCTGTCCCCTTCGGAGAGGGCGCCTGGGAGAACACTGACTCTGCATTTTATGCCTTTGTGTACTGTTTGAAAATTTTTTGTTTGTTTGTTTGAATGTTTTTCTCGTGGGTATAAGTTGAACTTTACTGAGTACATTCTCTAAAGTTTTCAAATAACGGCATAGTAATGTATCTGCTACCATGGAAGGATGTTCAGAAGATACTGCGAAAAGAATGTGTTTAAGCTGGAAAACGTACATAGGCAATGAAAAAGGTCGGGAAAGCTACACACCAAGGTGCTGCCCACGGTTCTCTCGGGGTAGAACTGTGGTGTCGTCTCTGCTCTTTCTGCCTGTCTGCTTTTTCTGTAATAATTACACGTGATTTGGGATTAAAAGCGATGACAACAGCAATAATTATAACAGCAAGTGAAAGCTTGTCTTGGGGAAGGAAAAAGGACAGAATTCAGAGGCAAAGCTGGGGGCCACCGACAAGTGAAGCAGAGGCCAGCTGGCCAGAGACTAGGAAGGGTGGGCAAGCAGGACATACCTGCCTGTGCATCTGATACAGAAACACTGAAAGCAGAGGCTCTGGAAATGGTCCTCTCCCCCAAAGTGCATGCTGTCCCTGGTAGCAGCAGTGATGAGCCAAGGAGTCCTGACCCTGCCAGGACCCAGCTCTGAGCCTCTTACTGTAGAGACGAGCTGGCGGGGAGGCTCCAGGACACGGCCTTGGGGGGCGCCTACTTCTGCATGACAATCTCCTCCCTGTCCTGCCCCACCCCCAAAACATCCTGAAAACAGGGCAGAATGTCCTACCCCCAACAGAAAGAGGAGAAAACAGGCCTGTGGTCACTCAGCTCCAAAGTACTGGCTGGTCTGATCCCTAGTTCTGATCTGGACAGTCTCCTTGTAGCTGGTTGGTTTAAAACACCTCCTAACGTGAGGTATGGGGCCAGAAGCCAGTGACCACAAGGGCCAACACGGTCGCTTTCATGTGGCCCTAGTAGGTACCCAGCCCTCCACACCTACAGTGGGATGAGGCAGCAGCTCTGTCTCAAGAGGCAGCAATGGCAGAGGGCATCAGATTCCACCTCCAGTCAGAGAGAGAAGACCAAAGAAAGCAAGCAGGCCCACATCAGTGGGTAGATGCAAGGAAGAAGCACAGATAGCCATCTTTACTTCCTTATCTAGACACCGCAGAATCGCACCTCACACTACTTCTTCAAATTTCTTTTCATCATGGTCTTATCAACCTCTGCATCACCACGACTTCTCTGCTGTAGGCTGCAAAGAAAGCTACACCAGGAGGCGGTCACAGTCTCCACAGGCCTATACTACACGGAGGAGGCGCTCAGCCTGGTTGCGCTGGCCAAGCCAGGGAAAATGGGAGGGCCCCACAAAGGCAGTGAGGAGGCAGCCTCCCAACAGGGAGGAGAAGACATCCACGCCTCGCTTCCCCGCACCAAGGTGACTAAACACCCCGTGTCTAGCAGAGACAGCTGGTCGCCTGTCTACAACGTCTGGTTGTTGGTATCTGGTGATTACGTAGCACAGACGTCTAGGCTCACACTTCCAATGGAAAATGCCAACTCTAGCCACCAGCACTCCTCAATTTCCAATTCATGGGGCCACCTTATGTCCAACAGGGCCTGGAAGGCACAGAATGTAATAGCTATAAACATTGGCTCTGGAGTCAACACTGTCTGGGCTTAAAATCCCGCCTCTGTCTCTACCAGCTGTGTGACCCCAACAAATTACTTCACCTCTCTGTGCCTTAGTTTCCTTAGTTGTTGTATGCATTAAGTGAGACGACACACATAAAATGCTTAGTATAGGGTATGACCCTAAGTGAGAGCTCCATAAACAACAGCTAAAAATAATTCATCAGGATATCTGCATACACACATGTGCGCACACACCTACAATGCTGACAGAACCCAATCACCATGACAACATCAGCACCAGGGAGCACCAGGATGACAATGTATTCCCAAATGCATCCTGCCCACTCTCCCACAGGTGAGTCTCACCATCACAAAATGAAAGGGGCAGAGGGAGAAAACACAGATTTTAAAAGTTGGGGAAAGCCAAGCCAGAAGAACCTGGGAGGCTTTGTTAAAGGTGGGGGTTCAGTACACTCCCCAAGCCTCGGATGATTATGTCAGCCAACTACAAAAGGATGGCATGTGTGCTGCGTGCACACACACACGCTATGTAGGAGAGGGCTGGGCCGGGAGACAGGAAGAGAGGCAGAGAATTCCTGGCACTGAAGCACTCTTCCTTTGCCACTGCACCAGCAGATGTTCACGAGCTGGCCTGGGCCTTGGCCAAGCTCTTGGCTCCTGCTGGAGCAAAGCCTGAGCACATCCCTCAGGAAAGTGGCCTCTGCAAAGGCTGGCCTAGGGGCAGAGGAGGTGGGGAACACGTAGTGGAAGGAGGGCACAAGAGGGACAGCAGAGAAACAGGAGAGTCAAAGCTCAGAACCAGGAAGAGTCAGAATGCAGAACTGAGGCATCTGGGGAACGTCCTTCACAAAAATTATCAGCAGCAGGATCATCTTAACAACTGGTCCCACTGGGGCCCTCAGAGACAGACTTCAGGGAGAAGTGGGAGTCTGTGTAGGCTCCTGGGGTCTGGGGCTTGATCAGAGACAAAAGGCTGCCAAGAAGCAGAGCACATGCTTGTTGCCTGTGGACCGAGGGCCTAACGCAGCACAGGGAGCTGGCAGGTAGGCAGGCAGCAGGCCCTCAGCTGATTTCCAGACATGGGCTGCAGACAGGAGACACAGACAGCACACAGACAGCGTTTGGGCAAGGAGAGGAATGAGATGCTCTACTGCAAGGGGAGGAGGTGTCTGTGATGGAATCGATTAAAATGACTAGGCTCATTTCCTAGGTCACTCGTGATTTTCGTCCTCCAGTTGAAATAGATATCAATGAAGATTCCTTTCCAGCACTGAACATTCACGTTCATCTCTATTCCCTCCCAAAACCCTATTAAAATGACAGGGTCCTAAACTAACAGGATGACAACCTCTAGCAGTGGGAATGTCTCCAAGAAAAATAAAATGGAATCAACAGATTATCTGAAGTATAGAGGACTGTTCAGTTATATCTGTCTTACAAGAATTTATGGTAGTAACACTCACTATGCCCAAAAAAAAAAAAGACAATTACTAACTGCTTTTCTAATTAAAAAAATTTTTCAGATTAAAAACTATAATTATAATACATAACAGCTCAGTTGTAGAAATGATATTAGGAGAATAACGAGGGGAACAGTGTATGTACACGAGGGGGAAATTGATGAAATCTCATTCATTGTTCTGTGGAAAGTCAACAGATACTATCCAAAACCAGTAAATCCAAAAACAGTGATGTAAACATATTATTTAGATAAATGGAAGTAAACAGTAGATGAAGCATTTTTTTAGCTGAGTCAGAGCCTGCGTTGTAATTCTTTTAGAATTGAAAGTTTGTGGCTCTAGAAAGCCAGGCTTGTGGAAAGGCAGAGCAAGCGACTCTTGTTTATCATTGTAAGCCTGGCAAGTCGTATTTAACTTTCAAAATCCTGTTTAAAGAACACTTTCATCAAAATAGAAATTTTCTTAAAACAACAAAAAAGATTTATTTCAAACCTAGCTCCCATGACTCTTCCCCTACGAATTCTTATCAGGTCTCTTCTCTCATGAAAAGCATAGTCTATGCCACCCATCTGGCAATTGATCACATGGCACTTGGCAATCAGCTGGACTCTTCTATTGCTAATGATCGTTTCACCTGTGTATTGTCTCCCTAAGTTATAGCTGCTTCACCATGGAGTACACGTCTCACGATCTTTGAGCAGTCCACAGCAGATCTGGCTACTGAATCCACAAGCCTGGAGGAGGTGCGGCGCCCAGCTCCCATTACCTGCATAAGCATTGGCCTGCTGCAGAAGGTCGGTGCAGGTGTGCACATCTGCGAACGCGCGGATGCCCAGGCAGTTGGTGGGGTGCAACTGAGACTGCAGGAAATCACAGCAGTTCTGCCGAACGTCCATGAGCTGCAGCAAGCTGGCTGCAGGGAGCAGCACCTGGAGGAGAAGGTGACATTGAGACACCGCATCCCTCCAGCAGAGCCTCATCTCCCTGAAGCGCCATTCTAATCACACCACTCGGGTGCTGGAGAGCCTTCTGTGGCTCTCCACTGGCTGCCCACGCAGTCCAAACTGCCTGGCCTGGCCTGCAGGGCAGCCCCCATCTCATTTCCCACTACTCTCCTCTTCAGGACCCTATGGACCAGCAGAGTCTCTGTATGTGTATATGAATTCCCTGGGGGGCTTATTCAAGTGTAGATTCTGATTGAATAGGTCTTGGGTGGGTCTGAGAGGCTGCATTTCTAACCAGCACCCAGGTGAAGTTGCAGCTGCTGGTGCACAAACTGCACTTTGGTGAACAAGCCCCTTACGGACTTAATGCTTGTGCCCCACCCCACAATATATATGTTGAAGCCCTAACCTCCAATGTGACTATGTTTGGAGATAGGGCTTGTGAGGAAGTGATAATGGTTAAATGAGGTCATAAGAGTGGTGCCCTGATCCAAAAGGGTTCGTGCCCTTATAAGAAGAGAGAGAAACACCAGTGTGTCCTCTCTTTTTCCCTCTCGCTCTCTCTCTCTCTCTCTCTCTCTCTCTCTCTCTCTCTCTCTCTCTCTTTCTCTAAAATGTGAGGACACAGAAAGAAAGCGACCTTCTGCGAACCAGGAAAAGAATCTCACCAGAAACTGAATAAGCTGGAACCTTGGACTTCTTTCAAAACTGTGAGGCAAATTTCTGTTGTTTAAGCCACCCAGTCTGTGGTATTTTGTTATGGCAGCCCAAGCAGACTAAGATGAATTCTTCTACTTGGCTACACATTGAAATCACCCAGAGAATTTTAAAAATACTTTGGGGGGGGGTCTCATCCCCAAAGATTCTGACTTATTGGGTTGTCAGGAAAGTCATGACACATTTTTGCAACGAAAAAAATAGAAAAAATATGTTATGACTTTTCCAACAACCCAATAATAGGAATGGGGTGTGGCCTGAACAGGGAGAGGTTTCTAAAGCTCCCCAGATGCTTCTAATGTTCAGCCATGTTTGAGAATCACTGCCCTAGAGCCTGTAGCACACTGTCTTCACACAAAAACGTACTTACTGAATTGTTCACTAGCTGGTTCACCACTTAACTGCTAAGTGGCTGTGTGCCAGGCACTGGTCTAGGCTCTAAGATTCAGTGGTAAGCACAATAAACCAGACCCTTGCTCTAAATGTAGCTTATAATCTACTAGAACATAGGAGGCACCCCCAAAGCCCTCAGGACTCAGACAAACACATTTTATTCTCCCATCCAACAGATAAACAATAAAGAACATCTTCAGGTACATTCTCAGAGAAAGAAGACCTGAGTTTCCTTTTTAAAGGGTCATAGAACATGAGTATTCATACTATTCCCTGGAAGACAGAGGTTCCTGCTCAGGTGTGTTTGCATGTGTTTTTCCTAAAAGCCAGGGAAGACTGGCTTGAGCAGACCAGATGGGTTCTCATTCTCAGACTGTCAACCCCTGTCAAGTTTCTCTAGGCCTTTCCCACCATTACGGAGGCCTGCCCTCTGTGTCAAAAATCCAGCAGTGACAGCCAGAGTCCTACTTGACCTCAGCTCTGCTTCCCTTCACCCCCACCCTATGGACGGGGTAAAAAATGTGAGAGTGACCTTCCAAAAGGAAATTTAGAAAAATTAAATTAAATAACAGAGCAGAACAGTTTGATTTTGAGGCTGCTTAGCTCAGGGCCCCCAGCATCCATGTCACCAAAAAAAACTGCCATGTCCTGGGCCTTTGTTCTCAGCTGCTCCCAGAAAGAGTATCTGGGCCAGCCAGGCTCCGGTCGTTCCCACCCTCAAGGGCACGCCCAGGAAGACCTAGGCTGCAGGTGCATTGCTTTTATTTCTTTTTTCAGTGATTTGTTTGTTTGTTTGTTTGCTTGTAGTGATTTAAATTCTGGACCCTGACCGTCTCCCAAAACAGTTCTGAGCCTCAGCTCTGACCCTGCTCGCCTCCATGTGCTCAGGCTAACATCTGCCCTACGGCCCATTCTTGGGCCCTGTCCCTCCACCAGGATAACCAGCCGTCCAGGTATGCCCAGGACACAGGGCTTTCAAGGCTAACACTTGGACTGTGGGTCACCCTTTCCCATCCCTGCCCACATGCAGAAACCACCAAGAGCCTCCACTATCAGTGGTCCTGCTTCTGAGCTAAACGCTTGCTTTCAACGAGGAAAGCTCTTCCGAGCCACAAGCTTATCAGGCTGCTCCCTCCCGATGCTTGAAAATATGATCCTCTTCCTTCCTCCACCCTCTCTCCTCCACTCTCCTGTGTCCCCAGCAGGACAGCAGTAAATCAGCATTGTGTCCTTGGTATTTTCCGAACCCTGATTCATTCCAGAGAAGGAAAAAGATAAGATCACCCGCTCCTGTGCTTTAAACCACAAGTGAACACAGCCGGCTTCCAAAGCTGACCACCTGTGAGCTCCATCCTCACTAGGCGGCCACTGTCCCCTCTCAGCAGCCATAAACTGGGAAACTCAATTAACCTATGAGCTTGCTCGGCCTAGCCAAACAGATTCCGGGACCAGATTAGTCTCTGCCTGCTAGTTAAGTGGAGAACCATTAACCACTCTTGCTGAATACATACCAGGAAGGAAAAGCTGTGTTCCACACTCCCAAATGAACTCCATGACACCCTCCTACCAATACCAGCTGCGAAACCTACAGTTAGGGCCGTAGGCTGACCAACCCTCCTGGTTTGCTGAGGCTTTGCCAGTTTTAGCACTGAAAGTCCTGTGTCCCAAGAGACCCCTCAGTGCTGGGCAAACTGGGACAGTCGTTCGCCCTCGGGAGGAAGACCTTCTCATCAGTTACCCTGAGAAGTCCTGGTGGAGGGGAGTGATTAAATGACCAATACACACACACCCTCCTCAGTAGTGGGGCAAGCCCCAAAAGGGTCAGGGGTGATGAGAGGCAGGAATGGGACAGCAGCCCTCTAGCCCCACAGAGGAGGGTTTCTGAGAGTCTAATCCACCACCCCCAGATTGTGTTCCCAGCCAAGCCAAGATGAGATCATGCCAGGGACACACCCCTCTTCCCCCTTGTCCTCTTCGTCACCACAAGGACAGTGGCATCATTTGGTGCTTAAACTCTCAAGCTCATGACAACCAGCCAAAGAAATGAAATAATACGTATTTACTGAACATACTCTTGAGGTCATAACTTTCAGTTTTTAAAACCTCCCTGGATAGAGCTACCCCCATAGCTTTCAACTTCCCTGCTGATCACAAAACCCACATAGTAGGCAAAAATGATAAGGCTTTCCACCTCCCCATGCAACCCCATCCTGTGTGGGTTCACCCCTGCCCCGAAGCAGTCCCAAGCTACTTCCGAAAAAGAACAGGGCTGGTGGTTTCTCTAACTGCTCCTTCCTTCTCTGATCTTACTCTGCGATGAGCTAGGAGTCCAAGGCCCTTCTCTTCCCACTGCTTGCTTAGTACAGAAAGGCGTGAAGGGAAGTAAAGGAAGTCAGAATGCTGAGGGGGGAGAGGGCCAGAGGCTGGGAGATACATCCCTGCTCAAACTCTGAGTGTCAGGGACAAACCGGGGCCCAGTCCAGGGGGGTTCTGGGGGCTGCACACACCAGAACAAACACAAACCCCCAGGGGCTGTGAAAGAAAACAGCACGGATGTCCATGAGGGGCTGTCTTCACTTCCCTCTCCCACATCAAGAGCTTTCAGAGGATTTCCTCTTCTCTTATCTTGCCTGCAACTTGACTCCCTCAAGTGGCAGCAGTAACAAGATTGTGAACAAAAGGCCAAGCTCGGGTCCTCAGCTTTGAAGCAAGACTGTCCTGGTGGAACCACTAGGGCAGCCCTGCTCGGCCCCTGGACAGATGCAGCTGAGCCCCGAGGCGTAGCTGGCTGGAATCACTACAGGAATGGACAAGGGCCCTAAGTGAAAAAGGTTTTAGCTTGCCTCTCGTCGCCTCAGCGTTATGGTTCTGGGAAAACAGGCCCTGGAATGACCCTCAGCAAAGGGTTTATAGGTTCCTCTCTAGCTTGCTAATGGCCTCCCCTCCATTTTTCACGTGCAGGCTCTGTTTTGTTTTTTCCCTCCCTCGGATAACATGAAAACACAGCAGAGGATATCCCGTCACAGAGTTTATTTCCTTTAACAAAAACAAAAGGAAATGCCCTGCCTCAGAAAGCACCTACTCCTGGAATTTCAGTGAGGCAGGGCCATCCATGGCCAAAGGGAGGGCACCAGCCAGAGAGCTAGGAGACAGGGCTGCCCGAGGCCCCTGCCCAGCCACACGGCTAGCCTGTCCCTCCCAGCACCAGGCATGAGACCTGGCACAGAAACAGTGCCGACATAAAACTTTCTGTTGAGAAAAAGAAAAGGGGAGAGAGGGAGGGAGAGAGAGATGTATATGAACAAGGGAGCTAAAATAGCAATGTGATTAAAAGTGTCACCTGGATTTTGACTTCTCCGCCAGCAGTCATGGGACTAAAGGCAAATTACTTAACCTCTCTGTGTCTCAACAGTAAAATGAAGATAATAACGGTACTGCCTTAAGGGCTTGTTGTGAGGATCAAATGAGATAATACATTTAAAGCAGTTGACACAGTGCTTCGTGCATGGGAAAGCTCTGTTAAATTAGTTTTTGTTATTAATGATTCTGAGCTGAAGTCAAGATTCGGATCATTCGACAAGAAACTTGAGCTCAATGATGACCACATCAACAGAGCACAGTGAGTTGGAGAAAGCTGGATTCAAACCCCAACCCTATCACTTACTACCCATGTGACCATGGGTACTACCATCTAACCCCTTTTGAATATCAGTTTCTTCAGCTGTCATAGTAGGATCGCAGTCGAACAGTCCATTGGTGATTACGAGAAGAAAGGAAATAATGCATGCGAAGTACTCAGCACGTGCTTGGCTTACAGTGAGTATTAACAAGTGTCAGTTATGACGCCTGTTACCGCCACCTGAGAAGGGCAGCTCAGTCTCTCCAAGCTGTGTGTGGCTGGGAAGACATTAGGAGCGCAGCTCTCCCGGCCATTTAACGAAGCTATAAATCTCTACCCTCGTTTCTAGTTTCTAAGGCTCCCAGAAGAGCCCCAGTGCCTCCATGCTCATCTCCTCAGGGCAAATCCTCAACAAACATTTTCTTCATCGACAGCTTGGGAGCGACTACCTCCGCAGATACATAACAGCACGAAGAAGCAGCCACCTTTTGATCCAGGCTTTCTCTTCTCAACCTCTTTTGTTTTGTTTTCCCTCAAGGTCACCCCTGACCAAACCACAGTTTAAAGCAGGTCGGAAAAAGGAAAACAGTGTATCACATTGATTCCAACCAGTGCACCGTTCCCTGAAGGTTCCACACTGTGCCTCCCAGGGGAGCCCCTGCACATGCTGCCCGCTCCCCACCCTGTACACAGACATGAGCACAGCAGCCCCATCGGGGTGCTTACACAGTGAGGACACAGGCCGGTGGGGACAGGAGGCAGGCCTGAACTCCCAATCTGCCTTGAAATCTGGCCCAAACAACACTTCCTCAGTGAGGCCTGGCCTGGCCATCCTCATCGAGGTGGTAAGGACCATTCCCTGTTTCCTGGGTATCTGCACCCTGCCCTACCACACTACAGAGCAACCATGCTTAGCCAACTGTCTCCAGCTTCAGACCCTGTTGTCCTTGGTGAAAGGGCTTCTGTGCCCATAGTGCTCTCTGTGCCCAGACTGTCTGCTGGCACAGGGCAGTACTCTTCTAAGTGCTTTACCTAAATTAATTCATTTAATTTTCACACCAACGCTATGTGGTAAAGTACTAATATGTACATATTACAGATGAAAACATTAAGGCATAGAGAGGTTAATTAACTTGCTTAGGGTCACACAGCTAGTAAATGGCAGAGCCAGGATTTACAGGCAGACAGTCTGACTCATGATCACCCAATAAAATGGGTACCATTTTGGGCCGGCCGAGTGGCTCAGTTGGTGAAGAGCTCACTCAAGAGTGCGAGCTCTGAGCAACAGCGGTTCAAGTCCTGGCCCGGGCTGAGCTGCTGCTGAGTGGCCAACAGGTGGCAGGATGGCTCAGCTAAAAACAAACAAACAAAAAACAAAATAAAATGGGTACCATTTTGATTCGTGTTTTACAGATGAGAAAACTGATCCTGAAGGCATCAGTGTGGACATCAGAGAAACTCTAGTAGGAGGAGGAGAAAACAAATCAGAGGCTGGCTGAGCCACTGTCTTCTCTGGCCACAGAGAAGAGTTGCATGTCCTCACTTTACAGACAGGAAACTGACACCGTTCAGTGGGAAAGGGCTAGAATAAGGGTACTCTGAGAATGAGTGGCAAAGCTGAGGCTCAGACCCAGGTCTCCATTCAAACTCAATCGCTGCTTCATCTCTATTTGTGCATGTGCTCTGAGCCTGAACATCTTCACTCTGGCCTCCATGCTTCTGCCCCTACAAAGCCATTTTTTAAAATGCAATGGAGAAGTCATTTTCTCCAGTCCTCTAATTAGCCTATCTGCTGCTACCTGCTTTAAGACAACTGGTGTTACAGAGACCACCACTGGATTAGACCAAAGTTGTAAAGATAAATACCTAGCCAGGTGAAAAGGATCCAGAGTGGAACATCTTTTAATTCCCAAGTTTGTAAACACCTTGTACTTAAAAAAAAAATTATTAAATAAATACATGATGAAAAGGGAGGAAAAGAGCCGGTTTCAATCATACAATTCTACGACCTCCCCCTACACATACTGTTTTGGGGGTTTGTGTTCTGTTTTGTTTTGTTTTGTTTTAGTGGCCTAAAACAACACAAATTTATTTTCTTACAGCTCTAGAAGTCAGAAATCCCAAACGGGCCTCACCAGGCTAAACTCACGGTGCACGGTGTCGGCAGGGCCAGTTCCTTCTAAAAGCTCTGAGGGAGAATGTTTCTTTGCCTTTCAGGCCTCTGGAGGCCACCTCCACACCTTGGCTCATGCCCCACCCTCCCATCTTCAAAGCCAGAATTGTGTTCTTATCAGGTCACATCTCTCTAGTTCTTCCTATTCTGCCTCCTGCTTATGCTTTAAAGAGCCCCTGCAATTACATCAGGCCACCTGAATAATGCAAAGTAATCTCCCCGTGGCATGTTCAGTCAATCAGCAACATTAATTCTACCTGCAACCTTAATTCCTCTTTGACATTTAACCTAACATATGCACAGATTCCCGGGATTGTGGACATCTTTGGGGGCCATTATTCTGCCTACCATGCTATATGATTAATGAGTGACTGACACACCCTAATGTGAGATTTTTTTTTAATTATTTACCCCATGCACGTTTTTAGGTTGACGTCTAACATTTCTCATCAGAGTTACAAAGAATGTAATTTCTTGCATTTTGTAAATCTCAATATTTATATCAAGTATCTAAATGAATTTATTTAAATGTGATAGTGATTTGATATAACCATCATTCATTTAAAAAATTTTTTTCAATACATTCCCTATACTCATTTTATACTAAATTATTTGCATGTACTGTTACTGCCCAAAAGTCATTCCGCTGTTTAAATTCTGCTGCTAGACCTAGGATGTAACCATTGCACTGTCCACTCCATTCCAAATGGGAAAGGCCAGAAACAAAATGGAATAGCTGTGCATTTTACTGTGTATAAAATATATCTCATTTTATATTTTATATAGAGGATGGAGGCAGGGTTAGACCAGATCACTACACAACCCAAGCGTCTGTCCAGGGCCCAGGGACAAAGGCAGGCCCTATAGTGGACCAGGCCCTGTAGGCCCCATACCGTGAGCCTCAGACCCCGGGTGCCTGCACCCTGACCCCTCACCCACTTACGAGTACCCTTCACCATGCCAAGCTAACTGCCACTCATTTCCAGGCTTGAGCGTAAATCTTACCTCCTGAAAGAGGCCTTCCAGGTCCCCTCTGCCATCTACACTGAATCCCCTTGATATACCCTCTCATTGTACGCCATATTCCTTTCCTTCAAAAGACTTGTCACAATTTGTGCACAGACACGACTTGTGTGCTTATGTGATGAGCACCTGTGTTTACCCCGAGATCACAAACTCCATGAAGGTCGGCCATGGAATCACCACTGCTCGCTGTTACAGCCACACTGCCCAGCAAAGCGCCTGGCATATAACAGGCACACAAACATGCAGACTGAATTGAATGAATACATGATTATCAATTCGGCCTCCCAAATACCTCAATCCTGGAAAAGGGGATGGTGTTCTGGACAAGGGTGATGGGTACTTTGGTCACTAGAGAGGTATCTGCTTCACGATAAATAAGAAAGGTGGAACTGCGCTTAAAAAAGAAAAACCCTTCATATCACAGGAACTTTCCAGCACTCTAGATAAATAAGCAGCGAGGTCCTTAATGACAAGCAAGAGTGTGTCCTGTGCCTGTGTTCAGCCTGGTGATGTGTAGGGTCCTCGCCAGCTGAGGCGTGCGGCTGATGCCTCGTGTCCCCACAGTAGACACATGCCTTTCAGTGAAGCAGCATCTTTGACTGCTCTTCTTTTCAAGGGTCCAGATGGCTGAGGACAAGGGCAGGGCAGTGACAGGAGGAAAAAGCACAGACAACACGGTTCACAGCCCCATGGCCCTGCTGAGGCTCAGGCCTGGTGCTTGGCACCTCCACATTCTCAGAGGCACTCGGCTGACTAATGTTGAAACTGGAAAACATTTTTAACAGCTTCACAATCCAACACTCAAAATCTCTGCGATAAAAGGATGAGTGGGGAGAAGTAGGGTCACCCAGGCTTGCAGTTCTTCCTCCACCAAGAGTTTGAACCAACGTGAGCTGAAGACTTTCTGCTCTGCGGCCCAAGCTCATTCCAAGGTATATGGCCACATGGTGAAGAGCCTGGGTGCTGCGGTCAGGCAGGCATGAGCCTGAGGGTCATTTACCCACCTACTGACGATGTGACCAAAGTCACCTAAGCGCTTTGGAGCTTTAGTTTCCTCTCTAGTTGCCAACTGAGTTGTGAGGGTTAAATGAAATGATGCTATGAAACAGTGGGCCCTGAGTGTGCAGTACACTGAGCCATGAGCTGGGGCTTGGTTTACCTGGACGTTCTCTTCGGTCACCTCAATTTCGGCCGTATAGATGTAATCAATCAGCTTACTCAGTGTCCGCCCATCCACGTCCTTGATTTCAATCTTCTTTGCTTTACTCTCAGACATGTCACCTACAGTTCAAAACAAAAACAAAATGGACATGAACTTAGCATCTAGAGTATGCCTAACTTTCACATCGCCTCTGCCTTGTCTTGACAACATAAAAGCACCGACTGTGTTCCAGGAGGCAGCAGAAAGGGTTCACTCAGGCATGGAGAAGGATAAACCGGCTGGCATCAAGGTCACATCCACTCTGAGTCGGTGAGCCTCCACAAACCCAGTTTTAAGCATTCCCCACTCTACCTGTTGCCCATTCCCATTCTGAAAGCAAATCTGTGTGCAATAACTCATGCAACTGACATTTACCGTAAACTTCTACAGAGGGTCAGAAAATATGAATATATGCACCTGTCCTCAAGGAGCACACAGTCTAGTAGGGCAGACACATAGAAATATTTATAAACAGAAGGGATAAGAGCTGGCAGAGGCATACGCAAAGTACTGAGAGAATAACAATAAAAAATACCATTTATTGCTAACTATGCCAAGCCCTGTCCTAAGTACTTTAAAGCATTACCTTTTTTAATCTTCACAACAACCTGTGGTTTATTAATTAATACTCCCCCCATTTTACAGATGAAGAAGCTGAGGCGCAGGCGGGTAGGTAATTCATTTTGCCCACAGTCACACACCTAAGTAGGGGCCAGACTGGCACTGAAACAAAGGATTCTTCTGACTCTAGAGCCCACACTTGTAATCAATATGCTAACTCCCAAGAATGCAGAACATAGAGCAACAAACCCTGCGTAGGGCATCCAAGGGAGGCATCCTAGTAGGCCGTCACACTGGAGCTGGTATTAGAGGATAAAGAATGTTCCACAGGCAGCAAAGGGGAGCAAAGATGAGCTGGATGCAGCAACCGTAAGTATAAAGAGAGAAAACTGCGAAGAGGATAAATAGGGGGAACAGTGAGAGGCTGGTATGACTGGTACACAGGGTGAGGGTGAGGAAGGGAGTTGAAGAGGTAGGTAGGGGCCAGGACTTAAGAGAACACTGCAAGCCATGCACATGGCTTTGGACTTTATGCTAAGAGTAGCACCACTGAAAGGTTTTAAATGGGAATGGCATCAACAAATGGTATTTTTGAATGAAATTTGAGGCACCTGGTAGAAGCTGGATCAGAGGCAGGGAGGAGAGTTGGGAGGCCCTGATAATAATCCAAGACAGAGGACACAGGCCTATGAACTAGGGCAGCAGCCCCACATCGCAGTCCTGAGGCCCCAGCCTTCTCTGTGCAGTGCAGAAGTTTATCTAGAGCCAGGCGCCTCCAACAGGGGCTGTTGATTTCAGAAGGAAAAGACCGGTAAGACATGTATCTTTGTAGACTGAAAGAAAGGGCAACCTGATTGCAAGAAACAGGGATTCAGAAGCCCGTATGTGAGTGTGAAAACAGAGCCTGGCGGGTTGTTTTCTCTCTATGGAATTTGTGCACTGGAGCCAAGAAAATAAGTTCAGTACAGCATGTGGGCTGCAGGCGCCCACCTCCAAGGCGCATGGACTGCAAATGAGTCCTCTGCCAATCACAGTTCCCGTCCTGACACAGCTCTAGATACGAATGGCTCTGGATCAGGGAGCAGAGGGAAAACCATTCCAAACCCTGCCCGCTCCCTTCACTGCCAGATCAGGTGGACCAGAGACCCTCCACTGTTCTCTCTTCTGACAGCTGGCAGAAGCCAGTCAGAAGGCCTGAGCACCAAGAGCCCTGAGGCAGGATGAAGAGGCAAAGGCGAAACAAGAAAAGATGGGGGGTTTCTGCTCTACCCATAAGATAGGCTCTCACAATCTCTCTCTTGAGTTTACTCCAAAACACACAAACAAAATCATACACAGAAGGAAATCAGAAGTTAAACTCATTTCTCTAAACAGCTATTAAGAAGTTCATTAATAAGCGTCTAGTTGGTAATTATATTGCAAAAGATAATCAAAGGCAGCCAATTCTTAGTTTAAGAACTTGGGCCTTAGGAAAAAAACACTGAAAAGAAGAACCACCTGACTGTAAAAACCAAGAGATTCAGAAGCCCTTAGAGAGAATGAAAACAGGGCCTGGCCTGATTGTCACTCTGGAATGTGTGCTTGGGAGTCAAGGTTAGGGTTTTCTAACTTTGAGGTAAACAGTGGAAATTCCTGAAATTGTATGAAAATACTTTTATATATGGACAAAAACTTCAATTTTATGGGGGGAATGACAAATCATTTTTATCAGTCTCAAATGTCCAGAAAGCATTAGAGACAGTTTTCTAGATGATGAGACTTTGGGGGAGACTTTTTTTCCCTGCTTTCTTTATATGATCCTGAAATTACTAATTTTACAGACTTGTAAAATCCAATCTTATTCTCTCTCATAAAGCAGCAGAAATGATGCACCGAACGAACACCTCAGCCCAAATAGCCCCTGAAAGTGGTAGTAATAATAGGTGCTGCTATGTGCCAGGTCCTCTGCTAATTCATTTAATCCCTGTAACAACCCCAGGAGGGAGGTGATATTACTTCCATTTTACAAACTGGGGAATTGGCGTTTCAAGAGGTATGTGCACATAGCAGGTCAGAGGCAGGGCTGGGATTTTAACCTTGAGCTAACTCTAAACGTCATGTCATTTCTAATGAATCCCTCTATAATTTAAAACTGACCCTAACTAATAAACTTCATAAAACTATTCCCAACAAGGCCTTGGTCCAAATTCTGAGAACAACTTGTCACTTAATACCTTACAATCAAGAACCAAGAGGGATGGGATCTCATCAAGCTTATTTTTCAAGATATTCTCAACACCTAACAAAGTGTGTGGCCCATAAGAAGCACTTAAAAATATTTGTTGGAGCAGGAAAGAAAGGGAGAAGAGAGGCTTTCTCTTGACATCTCATAATTCCATGGACTCCAGTAATGCCTGCAAGACAGAAACCATCAAAATCTTAGTCATTCTTGCTCCTTTACTCACCACTACTTTGACAAAATATTTCTAGAAAACAGGACATGAGCCCTATAAGTACTTCCATCTTCAAAGTCAACCCAAGAGCCCTCCTCTGCTGATTTTTCCCAAGAGGTGAGCCCACACACTTCAGACTTTGAACTTTCAGAAAATGTCTGTTGGGTGCACATCTTTTTAGCCCCTCCCATCTTCTGCTTGTCACCTGTTAACATGCATGTCCTAATCCTCCAAAGAAGACATCATCCAGCTGTTTGTTCATTCATTCATTCAAAGGTGATGGTGGCCTGGACTAAGGGACTAGGTCTTGAACTTCCTTAATTCCTCAGGCTCTATCTTTGGACTTTGCACCAAAAAGTCTCCGAGAACCATGGCGAATCCAGGAGAACAAGAAATCCCACACCTCTAGCAGGTACATGTGTGCAAGTCATAATCCTCGACCCTAGCAAGCATACCATGTGCACAGCTGAGCTCTTCTGAGGTGGAAGACAGTTGAAGGGGAGCAAAAGGGAGGAGGTGAGACTTGAGGAGCAAAAGGAGAAAGCCCTTCACTGTCGCAGGATACCCAGGCAGTCTAGAAAATCAATGGCTCACCTTCTAGGTCGTTGGTATAAACCCCACTCTATTATTCAGTAAAAGGAGCCTCAAGAATGAGGAAAGAATGGTACAGTGGCAGGCAGGTCTCTCGGCACCAGCGCTAAGCCACCAGCCACCCCGACAAAGCTCTATGTCAAACAGAAGAAACAGTGTATTCAGGAGGCCTTACGTTACAGGATTCTTCCCTACTCCTGACTTGAATCTTTACTGCTGCAATTTAGTTTCATGTCTGGGTAGAGAGAAAACAGATGATCCTTATCTGTTGCACAGTGATCTTTCATGAGTGTTAAGATGGTTATTAAACTTTCTTCCCCCTAATCCTCATCTGCCTAACTTCTAATATCTGAGTTGCCAGCTCATCGGATAGAGCTGAGGTCTGTGTCATACATTAATCTCACATAAGAAATACCCTGCCACCTCCCTGAATCCCAGATGACCCTCCTGCAGGTGAGTCCAGGCCGTTTACCTACAAAAGGCTGGCCTCTGTCTCCTGTGAAATGAGGACATTCCTGCCCTGCCTTTATCCCAAAGCTGTGTGAGAATCAGGGGATAATAAGAGTGTGAGCACTGTGACTGCAGGATTCAGCAGAGCTCAGTGACAGGGGCCACGCCATCAAACACCCACCCTGGAACCTCACCCTTCCTCCACCTGGATGGGTCTTCCTGATCAGCTGGGGGCACATAAGCACCAGCTCGGGAAGAAGATGCCTGGGTAGCCACACAGCCGTTTCCCATCAACCCCAACCTCCATCAGGATGGCTAACACCAGAGCCGACCCTCACATCCACAGGAGCTTCATAAACTATGATGTGCTCAACTCATAGTAAGAGTGAACTTAATTACCTATTCTGTGTTGGTGCCTTGCTCCCATTACCCGTATCTGCTCCGTGATTATTGTTACTATTCCAGTCTCACAGGTAAGAAAACAGGATCACAGAGGTTAAGTGAATTCCCCACAAACCTATTAGGTGCTGAAGTCAGAATTGGAACCCAGGTCCCTATGGCTCCAAAGCTCTTTCCAAGATACTACACCATCGCCCAAAGCAAGGTGGCATTACCGCCCTGCGTGTAATCTTTAGCAAAGAAATCTGTACATCAACAACGCCTACCTCCTCTGTGAACATGCATAAACCATTCCTTACCAATGGTTTTCTGATGACCTGAATTGCAAGGCTGAGCTACCCAAACAAGTCTACCCCAGACCATCTTGTTCAAAAGAGCTGTACCTTTAATGGGGGGCTGGCGGTGTCTGAATAGCAGTCTCTCTTCCCAGGTGCCACACGGGCCTCAGCTGAACTACATTCAAATCAGTCTTGAAACACTCACCATTTCTACATCAAGAGGGACATGTTTTTAGACTACTGCACCCCATATCCTCAAATTGGGGTCTCCTAAGCCAGGAAAGATGCCTGACTTTGATGTGGTGTGTTAGGGACAGGAAAAAGAAACCCTATGTCCCTGTAAGCTTCGGCCCAGAGGTAAGTGATGCT